TATAATTTTTGGTAACGTTAAATTAGTTAATGTTTTGTAAGTGTGCTAGAATCTTAACTCTAAAGTGCGTCTCGCTGCTAATTGTTTTTAGGTTATGCGGAAGATCATTCCACAGACGAACAGCAGAAATAAAGAAATGTTTTTCCGAGATTGCTAATTTAAATTTAGTGCAAACTATGTTGTTCGTTCTTCTTGATGTCGTGAAAGCAATTTTGTCGTGCAGATAATTTGGTTCCTTACGTGCAATAATTTTGTGCAAGAAGATTAGGGTTCTAAGCTTAATCCAGGAGTCAAGGGTCAGATTGAATATTTTATTGGTGTATGTCGTTATTGAATCTCTTCTTTGAATGTTGAAAATGTACCGTGCTATGCTATTAAAGGCTACTTTTAATTTGTTTTGACTTACTGCATCGCAGTATCCAAAAAGTTCAATCCCATAAAATAGCAAGGGTGTGAGGCATGTTTTGGCAATAAGGAGCTTTAGTTTTACAGGAAGAAAATTCTGCGTCAAAGACAGACGCCTTAGTGCGCTATATAGTCTACCTACTGCCTTATTGACATGGTCACACCAAGTTAATGTTTGGTTTATATTTATTCCCAGGTTTATTGTCTGCTCTACATACGCAATGGGCTCATTGTTGAGGCGTACTTGCTCAAGATTCAGTGTGTTGATTTTTTTTTATATATTACTAAACATTTTGACTTTTTAGGGTTGACCTCCAATCCGTTAATACTTGCCCATTTGCTGATTTTGAAGAGATCATCATTGCAGACACGTATACATTCATCTATTCTACATAACGGACGACTAACATACATCTGGACATTATCAGCATACATGTGTAACTCGGAATTAGACACACAACATGGAAGATCATTGACATAAATTGAGAACAATAGTGATCCTAAGACAGACCCCTGAGGGACTCCACGCTTTATGAATAAAAAAGACGAAAAATTATGCGAAGTAACTACTGCTTGGTGACGACAGGACAAATATGACTCGACAATATTAGTAGCTGAGTCAGAGAAATTATAAAGTCTTTTTAATTTCGTACACAGTATGTTATGATTAACAGAGTCAAAAGCTTTTGAGTAGTCTAGTAGGGTTAGGAAAGTTACCTTACTGTCGTCCATTTCTTTCCTAATATCGTCGGTAATTTTAATTAATGATGTAATACAACTTCTATTACTTCTGAAGCCCGATTGTTTATCACTCAAGAGTGAGTTTTCTACCAAGTAATTGCTAATTTGTTTGGTCATCAAGTGTTCAAGTGCTTTTGATAGAAATGGTAGAATTGTGATTGGCCTGAAGTCATTGCTTCCTTTCGGGATAGGAATAATTTTTCCTGATTTCCACTTGTACGGAAAGCACGATGTCGTAAGCACTGAGTTAAATATGTGAGTTATATAATTTAAGACTTTCGGAAGCAATAATTTTAAAAATTTGGGGTGTAACTCGTCAAGGCCAATGGCGTTGGACTTCACTTTAAGAACTGCATCTAAGACATCACATTGACGTACACACATAAAACTAAAAGAAGTATCACAGTTTAATAACGAGGTAGAATTCAGGTACGTATTTTCAAGGGCTTCAGGTACTGCTAGCTGTACAAATTTGTTGTTTAGTTCATTCACGTCGACATCAATACATAAAGAAGGTCTACTTTTTCCGATCCCTAACTTATTAACTTCGGCCGAAACTTGTCTGGACGAGGTGACCGCTTCGCATTCATAATTTTCAACCCAACTCTACGTCTCAGTTTCTTATATTGCGATAAGTGAGCCGTTGTCTTGTACCTTTTCCACTTTTTATATGCGTCGTCCCTGCATTTTATTGCACATTCGATATCCCTATTAAACCATTCATGTTTTACAGGCCTGATTACTTTGTGCCGCAGCGGCACAAAGGTATTGAACAGTAGCTCAACATTGTCATTAAACAGTTGGAGCTGCTCGTCTACAGTGGGTTTTAGGTAAATATCATCAAAATTCAAGTTATCACAGAGGTCAAACAGTAGTCTATGGTCAATGTTCCTAAAGTCCCTATAACTAAATGAGTGGTCAGTGTGGTCCAGGAAAATATCGTAAGTTATAACAAGATAGAACGCTACAGTCGAGCAAGCCCGACAGTAAAATAGCCTGTACTCTCCACAAAAAAGAAAAATTTAAAAAAAAAATTTAAAAAAAAATTAAAAAAAAAATTAAATTATTAAAAAAAGTTAATGAATTAATTAATTAAATTAAATTAGAATACATGTTTATGTTCAGTTTTAACAGCATACATTTACATCACGTAACTATACGTATTTATATGCGTGTATGTATGCAGCACAAAGTTGAACCAAAGCAGCAACAACAACAACAGCTGCGGGCAGCGCTGCCGACAGATCTGCAGGCAGCGCATGAGCAGCGATTTTACTTATGGCTATAACTTTCTTCAGAATTGACCTATCATGATGAAATTTTGCATACGGACACATTAGTACTAACTGGATGTACCTACCTACCTACAGACGGACAGACAGACGGACAGACGGACGGACGGACAAGGCTATATCGACTCGGCTTCTCATCCTGATCAAGAATATATATACTTTGTGGGGTCTGCCACGCCTCCTTCTGTGTGTTACATACATGCGCACAAAACTAGTATAGCCTTTCACCCTTTGGGTACAGGCTATAAAAATCAAGTCATGTTTGGAAAAAGCTGGTACGGACAACTGGTCAAATAGGAGAATTTTTTCAGTGTCATTTACAAAAAATAAGTCAAGAAGGGTATCAGAGGTGTTAGAGAAATGTGTAGGTACTGTAAAGTTTACTAGCTTCATACCAAGAGACACCATATCGTCCTTTAAATGTCGTTCAAGAAGCATTCTTTTGTTTACATAGAACCCGAATAATAGAATTACTGTTCGCTGTGGAAGCACATCTTAAGTTATCTTGCATTGAGTCCATAAAACAATCATACGCTCACGCATTATACAGCGATCAAGATCACTAACAGATGATCTGCACACTATTAATACATTAACATTTACAAGAAAACAAATATTACAAAAACAATTTATCCAAAAACTAAACCTAAAACTTATATTAATATTAAAAGCTAACATATGTTTACACCACAGAGTTAAAGGCAGTGGGAGAGCGAAAAAAAAATTGGTTACATTATAGCCCATGCTTTCAGGAAAAACTCTATAGATTTGAAAATTGACATCGGAAATTCGATTCCATCATCTCTCTACCGTGGGCTTTAGTTGCTGTTGATTCTGAAAGTATATATTTCTTGATCAGGATGACAAGGCGATATAGCCATGTCCGTCTGTTCGTCTGTCCGTCTATATGAACGCAAGGATCTCAGTAAGTAGAAGAGGTAGAACAATCAAACTTGGTATTCAGATTCTCCTAAGACCGAGAAAGTACGAGTTTCAGTTTTTTCAGTTATCTGTTCTAAGATGCTAAGTTTCATCATGATTGGTCCATTCTGAAGAAAGTTATAGCCATAAATAAAATCGCTGCCATGCTCTGCCTGCAGCTCTGCCCGCAGCTATTATTGTTGCTGCTTTGGTTCAACTTTGTGCTGCATACCTACACGTATATAAACACGCAGAGACACGATTCTGATGTAAATTTATTCTATTGAAATTGTACAAAAACAATTGTGTATCTATGCATGTGTTGAATATTTTATATTTAATTTAATTAATTAATGAAACTAATTATATTTTTTTTTAGATTTGTTTGTTTTTTTTTTTAATTTTTCTTTTTTGTGGTATGGTATTTTATGGCATTTTACTGTCGGGCTTGCTTGTTTTTCTATAGTATTCCAAAATAGTCATATTATATTCTTTCACCATTTAAGGCAATAATTTCATTATTGCCCGCTTGGAACTGTTCACGAGCCTTTCTGTCTGCGTAGTTAGCCTTTTTCCTGTCCTGAGAATCCTTTTTATAGTTCCTCACCAGGGTTTGAATTTTTCTCCAACTGATGTCTGCTTAGTAAGCAGCGAATCCAATTCTGGAGATAGAATTCCTATTTTTTCCAAACTGGTATAAGTTGTCAATTGTGTTTTTGTTTTGCTTTTTTAAGCCGAATGTGCTTCAACTCACACCGATTAATGTTCAATGACACTGAATACCAAGGAAGTCCGTCGGAGAACATATCTGGCATTTATCCCGATGTGTTCCCTCGTTGAGGTTTCTGGGGCTTCTGTGAGAACGCCCAGAACTTCTGCCCAAAGAAAACTTCAAGTTTTCCTTCGTTGACGTTTCTGGGGCTTCTGTGAGCGTGACCAGAACTGCTGCCAAACGGAGTCTCGATAAGTCGCCTTGTAGATTAATCGTTTCCAATACCAAGTTTTGGGAAAACTACCCGATCGCGAAATCTCGCGTACCTAGATTCAGCAAGCACAGCTTCCTGCTTGCGGTCCTTTTCTGAGCTATGTTTAGCCGGAAGGATGTGTTCCGTCAACCTTGCTTCTTTGAGCACGACAAGAACTGCTGCCCAACGAAGACTTGAAGTTTTCCTTCGTTCAGGTTACTGGGGTTTCTGTGAGCGCGATCAGAACTGCTGCCCAACGGTATGGGACAAAGATGAACACCAACAGTTTATATGTTTATGTACAATATCGTACATTTACGTGCGTGTGAGTTAAGTTAGAGCAAGCACAGAGATTTGATTTATGGCTATAACTTCCTGAAGAATTAACCTATCGCGATGAAACTTCAGATGAAATCTATCAATAATCCCCACAATTCGTAGTCCGTAACGCCCCTTTTCTGGAGGGTTATAAACCTAAACTAATTAGGAAAATTGTTTTTCGAATTGTATACATTATTATCGATTATTGTTGCCACAAAGTTTTGTTTATTGAACTAAGCTTATACAGGGCTCTGTAAATAATTTTACTGTTCTCTGGACCTCATCACAACTATCATTCAAATGCTTATGTGTTATTATTCATTTTAGTAACTCCCAAATGCAAATGTTATTTCAGAGATGGTGTTGGAGATGGACAGCTGAACTTATGTGCCAATTATGAGATTCCACAATTTGATGCAGTTTGTTCCAATCATATAAATATTACATATATAATTGTGCAAAAACGCGTAAATACTAGGTTCTTCTTGGTAAGTTAGTAAAAACAATTTTCTAAACTAATTTAAATTATCTGAATTGTATACATAATTAAGTTAGATCTAACACTTATATTCATAAATTTCTACATTCAGTTTCATTTGACAAACCTTTCTTGAGTATCTATACTGTCATTGTCCACATGTCGACAATTTAAGTTTTAAAGAAATTGAATTGAAAGTCAATTTAGTCCGTCAAAGTCAACTTGATGATTCCTATTATTTCTATAAAAATTAAAAAAATTAAAAATTGAATTAGCATTTCTGAGTACCCTCTGGCCGGCGAGTGTAATACGTGTCAGTTGTCAGCATCAGCTGACTGTCGACGATAACATTTGACTTTATTTATTTATTACTAGCAGGTATTGCCCGTCTTAACCCGGCTCAATATGTTTCCAATTGTATTTATTTTGTGTGTGCATAACCTACCCATATGTTTTCACCTTAAAGGTTACCAGTAGGAAGGCATTTAAGGTATTTAAATGAACATTTTCTGTTCTTGACAAAAAATTGTTCAGTAGTCCGTTACATTTTTGTTCTTGACAAACTATTTCGTTAAACGAACATGACCACTATAACTAATATTTTTTAAAGCTCGTTTTCCCCCCGTTGGAGCTAGAATTTTCCAAAAGCCTTTCTTAGTGTGCTCCTACACTATGATGGATACTATGAAACGATACTTGAGTCCAAATTTAAATTCACATTTGAGTCTTTTCGTGCCATATTGAGTCAATACGGCCACGCACAAACTCGGAATATGAAACACGGCACTCGTGTCAATGCCGTGCAGCGATGAGCCACGATCAAAAACTACTGGCACCGATACCATCAAATTATCGAAGTTTGAATGCAATAAGCAGAATATTTAAATAACAAAATCTAATTATTTATTGACATCAATAAGAACAAATCATATACATACATACATCTGCCCGCAATGCGAAGCAGAATATGCGTAGCTCCGTTATTCGGTTTCTGCTTTACTATCGCTTACGCAGTCGTTGCCTAGCGACGGTAACTGTAACATTTTGGCGTTTTGCCTTTGCAATTAACATTAAATGGTCAAAACGAAAGAAAAAGAGCGAGCTAATGACTTGCAGTTGTTGTTGTTTTTAGAGCATTATTTTTTTTTACAATCAAACAACTGTGTTCGATTGCCCAATGTATACATTAATACGAATGTACATACATGCTATATTCATACACAGGCATACATACATATGTACATATGTATGTTTCTCTTTACTTTTTCAACCGTACGTAGAGAACCGCACTCATAGACACGAACTGTTGCTTGTTGTGTGTGAGTGTGTGTATGTGATGTCCCCAACTATTTGATATTTGTTGTTGCTGCATAAAGTTATTAATGAAAACACTAATGCCAAATGCATTAAACAAAGAAAAAATTACTTTTAAAAATGTTATATTATATAATTTTCAATTAATTAACATTTCTTGCTCTGTCAGTGCAAGACGAATGTACATACATACATATGTAGATACATATGTACATACATAGATGTGCACATATGTATGGACATTCACACATTAGTATCTCACATGTTGCTTTGGCTATTTAAATCGTTTGCACGCAACTACACGAACAGCTGTTTGTATGTGTGTATATGTATACTTAGTTGTCCCCAACTGTTTGATATTTTGTATTGTTTGTTCTGCCTGCTTTTGTAAAATGCATATTTTGAAAATCCTTGAATGCAAAGTTGTAGATTTAGTTACGTAGATTACATTATCCAAATTTTAAATCGATCGGACTAAATTTATAACAAAAACTTTTCATTTGAAATAGTGAATAAATATTAAAACCCCAATAATTCAAGCTCCAACACAAATTTCGAGTATGCAGTTTTGTTTGTATCCTTTAATTGATTTTAGAAACTAAGTTTTAAGTCGATCGGTTGAAAAATGCGGATTTTTCAAACAAACTTTGGAGCTCGTTTTCCCCCCTTTGGAGCTCGAATTTTCCAAAATCCCTTCTTAGTGCTCATCTACACCATGATAGGATACTTGAGCCCAAATTTCAGCTTCCTAGCCTTTACCGTTTGGGCTGTGCGTTGATCACCAATCATTCAGTCAGTCAGTCAGGACAAACTGTTTTATATATATAGATTATTAACTTATCTTAGCGTTACAAGTAACAGATTACTTCTAAGTTATTACGCTAGTCATTACAATACATATTCATTTCCAATTTAATTCAGCTTAATTTGATTTAATTTAAGTTACAAAGTTTGATTTAATTTAATTGACGTTAAACGTGCGTGTTACAGACATGTGATATATATTATAATTTACGTTATTTAGATGTGCTGTTGTAAGTGTGCTTGAGTTTTTAATTTGAAGTGCGTTTCGTTGGTAATTGTCTTAAGGTGATGCGGTAAATCGTTCCACAGCCGAACAGCGAATATAATGAAGTGCCTTTCCGAACATGGTAATTTGAATCTAGTGCAGACCAAATTATTTGTTCTTCTTGACGTGGAGAAACTGATTCTTTCGCACAAATAATTTGGTTCTTTACGTGTTATAGTTCGGTGTAAGAGAATTAGAGTTCTAAGTTTTATCCAGTCGTTAAGGGTCATGTTGTAAATTTTGTTAGCGAAAGCCGTTATTGGTTGTTGCCTCTTAATGTCAAAAATGTATCGGGCTATACTATTAAAGGCTACTTTGATTTTATTCTGGCTTACAGCATCACAGTCCCCGAAGATTTCAATACCATAGAATAATGAGGGTGTCAAGTAAGTCTTAGCAACTAGGAGCTTGAGTTTAACTGGAAGGAAATGCTGCGTCAAGGACAGATGCCTTAGCGAGCTAAAAAGCTTCCCAACTGTTTTATTTACATGGTCATGCCAAGATAATGTTTGATTCATGGTTATCCCTAAGTTGGCACGTTGTTTAGCCACACTCTCTAAATTGAGAGTGTGTACTTTCTTTTTGTATATAACTAAACATTTAGACTTTTTTGGGTTAACTTCCAATCCATTTATACTCGCCCATTTGTGTATTTTCCCAAGATCGTCATTACAGGCACTAACACATTCATCAATTCTACTTAAAGGACGACTCACATACATTTGGACATCATCTGCATACATATGCAACTCACAGTTTGACACACAACATGTAAGGTCATTGACATAAATAGAAAACAACAGTGGGCCTAACACTGATCCCTGGGGGACTCCACGTTTTATTAATAAAAAAGACGAATAACTATCTGAAGTGACAAACTGCCTGGTGGCGACTGGACAAATACGACTGGACTAAGTTTATTGCAGTGTCAGAGAAGTTATATAGTCTTCTTAATTTAGTACATAGTATGGTATGATTTACGGTGTCAAATGCTTTAGAGAAGTCAAGAAAAGTTAAAAACGTTACCATACTGTTATCCATCTCCGTGCGATTGTTCTCAGGGATTTTTACTAAAGAGGTGGTACAGCTCCTATTTTTCCTAAAGCCGGATTGCTTGTCGTTCAGGAGTCGATTTCCTATCATATCATTTCATGTCATTTGGTTCGTCATCAAATGTTCTAGTGCTTTAGATAGAAAAGGTAGGATTGAAATTGGCCTAAAATCATCGCTTCCTTTTGGAATAGGGATTATTTTTCCGAATTTCCACTTATTTGGGAAGGAAGATGTTGTTAGCACCGTATTAAAAATGTGGGTAATATATTTTAGAACATTGGGGAGTAGCAGCTTAACAAATTTGGGATCTAACTCATCTAAGCCAATATCGTTGGACTTCACTTTCAGTATTGAGTATAAGACATCACATTGACGTACACACATAAAGCTAAAACTAGTATCACAGTTTACTAACGATGTAGCGTTTAGGTACTCATTTTCATGGGTTTCAGGTACCGCTAACTGTATAAATTTATCATTTAATTTATTTAAATCTACGTCTGGAGATATAGAAGGTCTACTTTTCCCAACCCCTATCTTTTTGATTTCAGCCCAAACTTGTTTGGATGTGGTGGCTGAGGTGAATTTGTCAGAGTAATGGGCTTAGCATTGGTAATCTTCAGCCCAACTTTTGTATCTTTTCCACCTTTTATATGCATCATCTCTTTTTATTGCACTACCGATATCTTTGTTAAACCACTCATGTTGCCGAGGCTTAGTTATCTTGTGTCGCAGCGGCACAAAAGTATTGTATAATTGCTGAATGTTTTCATTAAACAGTTCAAGTTGCTCATCAACAGTGGGTTTTGTATATATGTCATCAAAGTTCAAGTCAGCGAAATGGTCATACAGTAGCCTATGGTCAATGTTCCTGAAGTCCCTATAAGTAATTGAGTGGTCACTATGTTCTAAAAATATATCATACGTCAAGAAAATCATGTCATGTTTGGAAAAAGCAGGTACTGAGAGCTGGTGAAATAGGAGGGTTTTTTTGGTGTCATTAACAAAAAATACGTCAAGAAGTGTATCACAGGTATTAGAAAATTGTGTGGGTACAATAGTGTTAACAAGCTCCATGCCTAGGGAGACCATATCATCCTTTAATTGTCGTTACAATAGCATATTGCTATTGAAATCCCCAGCCAGGACAATATTGGAGTGTTTCATAGCCACAGAAGAAAAGATGTCTAGGAGCTCAGTGTATTCAGTATGCCTGTTCGGCCTGTATACACATCCAACAAGGATGTTATCCATATTTATGCTTGCTGAGATGTGCAAAAACAGATACTCAATACTAATGCCCAGGGGCTGTTTACAAATAACGTGACATTTTAGATTATTTTTCACATATATGGGTACACCCCCCGCATGCCCCTCACGATCGGAACGATATATACTGTACCCATCAGAACATACATATTGATCATTAAGACAGGACACAAGCCACGTTTCAGACATACAGATTACATCTACATTGGAGTTAACAAACAAAAATCTGAACTCGTCCATTTTTTTCGCTAAGCTTTGTGCATTAAGGTGACAGGTGGGGTGAAAAGTAACACCCTTGACCACCA